GCCCCTCCCCAGCACTCACAGATGTAGTAGTAGCTGTGCCCCTCCCTGAACTCCTTGCCCAGCGTGAAGGGGGTGAAGCGCTGGAACTTCTCCGAGAACTTCTCGGGGCCGTGCAGGGCGCTGGGTTTGTTGCATTCCCAGCGGATCTGCTCCTTGGAGCTGGGCTTGCAGGCCTGGAACTCCTCGAGCTCCACCAGGTACAGGGTGTAGCGCTCCATGACCCGGGGGTCCACGCTGCCCTCCTCGTAGTGGGGGCAGATGATGTCCAGGTAGTCGTTGAGGCGAACCTCCACCGTGTAGTCACTCCACAGGAACCTGCGGCAGGAGGGAGGGTCAGGGGGTCAGCACCGGGGCAGGAGGGGCATTACTTGCACCCCCAAACCCTCCATACCCACATGGGAGCAGCCCCCTGCCCACAGCAGCTCCAGGACAGAGCACCTTTGAGTCCACCCTTCCCCGAGCTGAGTCCCACAGCGCCTGGAATGGCTCTGAAAGGACACCCCCTCGCCCCCGGCCTTCCCCCCGCCCCAGCTTGGCCCCCCCTCTGGCAGTGAGTAGTGAGCGCACCCCACTTCCCAGCGCTCCCCAGGAGCCGGAGAGCAGGGAGGGGACCGGCTGGGACGCGCACCCTGCCCGCACCCTGCCCGGCCCAGCGCTGCCGGAGCAGGAGGCGTCGCGGCTCTCGCCGTGGGGCAGCCAGCCCGGCTCCAGCTGCGCCCCACACCCCTCCCGGAGGGGGGACACACGCCGGGGGCCTCTGCCGTGACCCCACCTCGCTGGCTGCGGTAGCCCCGGGAGGGCACAGCCACTCGCGGGGGCAAACCCCTGCTCCCCAAACCCTGTGGGAGGACACAGCCCTACGACCTGGGGGGACAGAGCCCGGGGAGGGGGGAGAACCCCCACGACTTGGGGAGGGGGGAGACGCAGCCCAGGGAAGGAGGGGAACCCACACAGCGTGGGGGGAGCATTGGTGCCTAAGTGGGGGGCATCCCCACAGCCCGGGGGTCATGGCCCAGGGGGAGGCACCCCCACAGTCTGGGGGTCAAGAGAGTGAAGGGAGACTCCACTAAAGCCAAGGGGGACACTTCTGGAGTCTTAAGGAGGTCACCCCTATAACCGGGGGGAGGAGGAGAGGAGGGGGCACACCTACAGTCGGGGGGGGTCACTGCCCGAGGGGGCTCCCCTACAACCGCAGGGGGGGGGGTCATGACCCTGGGGGGAAGAAGCGAGGCAACCCTACAACCTGCGGGGGCCACGATCCCGGCGGGGCAACCTACAACCAGGGGCGGATCACGGCCCCGAGAGGAGCGGGGGGGTGGGGCACCCCCTAGTTCTGTGGGGCTGTTGCTTGTGCTGGGGTCACACCGCAGTCCCCGCCTGCCCCGGGGGCCGGTGAGCGGCGGGGGGGGGGGGGGCCCGCTCCAGGTCTGCCTCCCTCCCCCCGCACATCCTGCCCCGTGTTTGTCAACACGGTCCCCGGGGCCGGCGCCGAGGCTGGCGCCGTGCCCCCCCTCACCCCGCGGGAAGGAAGCGGCCCCTTCGCACGGCCCTGGGAACGGAAGGGCCCCCCCGGGCGCACCTGGACCGGCCCCGCCGCCCTCCCCCCCGCACGGCCCCCGCACCGGGCTCCGCACCGGCCCCGCCGCCCCGTCCCGCACAAAGGCCGCCGGGGCAGCCGAGCGACGCCGCCCGCGCCCTCGGGGCGGCGGGTCCCGCTCCCGGTGCGTGTGCTCGGCGGCGGTGGGGGGGTGCCAGGGGGGTGGGGGGTCACTCACCGGGGGTTGGAGCTGTTCCAGAACACCGTGTGCCGCTCGGCCACCGCCGCCCAGCACAGCCCCAACAGGGCCAGGGGCACCCCCGGCCACCCCATCGCTCCGCGGGTGCTGCGATCCACGGGCGGCCCCGCGCCCGCCCCCCGCCTTAAGTACGGCCCCGCCGCCGCCCCGCCCCCGCCCCCGCCCCGCGCCCGCACAACAACACACGGGACGGGGAAGGGAGGGGGGGGAATACACGACACACCCCCCTCACTGCGGCTGGTACGGGGCAAAGGGACACAAACACCCCCACCGGCACCGGGCAAGGGGGACACAGACACCCCCTCACCGCCATCGGGCAGGGGGACGTACACCCCACACCCCCAGGAGCGGGAAAGGGGTCACACATCCCCCCACACCGGCAGCGGGCAGGGGAGACACCCCCACACACACCGGCACCAGCACCGGGACCACCGGGAACGCACCCCCCTCCTACCGGGACCGACACCGGGCAGGGACACACATAACCCCACACCCACCAAGGGACCCTCACCGGGTAGGGACTCCCCCCACAAACACACGGTCGTGGCTCGGGGGGGCGGGGGGGAACCGGTCCTGCCCGGCAGCACTCACCAGCCTTAGTCCCGCGTGGGTGTGTGTGAGAAGATCACCCTCGCCCGGTGGTCTCCATGGTGTGACCGAGGGGGCTGAGCGGACCCTCCTTACCTGGGGAGTCTGGCTGAGGTGGGGGAACCCCTTTCCCATGACCCCAGGAGTGGGGCAGGGGGCTGTGGGTGCAGGATGAGAGATGTAGGTGCAGAGTCGGAGGCTGTAGGTGCAGAGTAGGGGGATATGGGTGCAGGATGGGGGGCTGTGGGTGCAGGATCAGGGTTGTAGGTGCAGGATTAGGGCTGTGGGTGCAGGATCAGGGCAGGGTCACCCTGCCTGGGTGCAGGATAGGGGGCTGTGGGTGCAGAGTGGGGAGCTGTAAGTGCAGGATTAAGGCTGTGGGTGCAGAGTAGG